TTTTACGTGAAATCCGGCTGCGTGTGTGCCTTGTTGGCGCACGTATGCGCATGCACGAAATGCCACGTATACCATGCTTTTCGGCCTGTGCTGTGATGCGTGCACTTTGTCTGCGCGCCGTTACGCGGCGACGGAGCGTTGTTGTTGTTGTCACTATCACTTCTATTATTCTGATTATTGCTTTTAGTCAGAAAGCAATTGATGATTGCAACCTACAGTTATGAAACAACTGATGATTGCAACCTACTCCTCATCCGTTGCCTCCTCTGCCTCAACCCCGACTCAAGACTGTGTTAAGGAACTGCAGCTACATTAGTACTATCAGTAAACCATCTTGTTTACGACAAATCCATATTGGGGTGACTTAATGCAAGTTCCTGGCTCACGACTGGGAGCTTTGCCAACAATTCCCTGTAGAATCCTTAAGAAAGACTACCCATAGGATCTCTTCGTAGTATCCCGAGACCCTAAACCCCTGTTTCGAGAAACCCCGATCTCAATGTCTAAAGCTGAAGCCCAGAGCTCATGAACAGAAATCGTGTTCTAGGGATTTTGGCAGCCTTCGAGTGAAGTTGCAGAGGGCTCCAACCTTGTAAAAAAAATGGAAGATCTCTTGCGCCACCCTGCATACCTTATATCCTCGGAATTCCTCGGAATGATAGTATATTGGGGTTCCTAAGCGGTGCAAGATGTGCCCCCATCCACGGCAATAACCTCAAGAAGATCGACCCCGAAGCCTCACAGATGCAACCATCTACGCCTGGGCCCACGAGAAGTCAACTCATGTGAGTAGTATTTAATTTGGGGATACTATTGTACCCAATATAGAGTAAGATTACATCATCCTTTTGGGGTATAGTATTTTATATAAGGGCTCTAATCTTACTAGGTTCAACCACAAAAAAATCGCTACTCATGTGGTCAGAAGACCTTACCGCCCTGTCCAAAACCCGAAACTGATTCGACTAGTCTCAAGGATTTTTGGCAGTTGTTTAAGACAGTTAGGTCTGGGGTTTGAGTACTTCAGCATTGCAGACTCAGCATTGCAGACCCCAGAAGATTGCAGAAATGTATCGTCCTTATTAACATCAGAAACCCGCCCTTGCCTCTCCCCCATGCATCCCTCACCCTGTAATCCCAAATTGACGAGCCACAATAGGATAGATTAAGGCGCTTTCAGGGACAAATAGCCCATCATCCGGGCTCCATACCTTAAGCCCCTAAACCCTAAATGCTACAATGCAGGCGTAAAAGTCCGCTGGTTTCAAAAAAAACCTAAGCTTTCCTGAAGGCTGCGTGGCCCGGATCTTCCAGGACTGCGCCGGACGCAGCGCCTCAGCGTCACTCACGGCCTTCAGAAGTGCTGGGCAGGCAGAATTTCCAGGGCTTCAAGGTGCTCAGATTTAGGATTTAGGGTTTAGGGTTTAGGGTGAAAACTTGGGGGGGGGGGCCTTCGGAGATATATCCTTAGGGACCCAGAGGGATACATAGGGTACGGGGTCCTCATCTCGATCTCCATTGGGACTGTTTTGAGGAATTCCTTCATGCGAATAGTATACACACCTAAATATTAAACATGTCCCCCAACATTCTAGACATCGCTTCCAGAGTAGATATCATTCTCAGACCTGGAGCCCCGGGGAAAAGTTTAAGATCATGAATTTTGCGTGTGCGGGGGCAGGGATTCGCGGGCTGGGATTCTTGGATTTCATTCCATGCCAATTTTGGGTTATTTCGAAGAAAGATATTGGGAGGTGTAGTGGGTTGCGAGCTGAACCACAAACCGAGCTAAACCTTAAACCCTTAACCTCCAGTAGCAGCCAGAGAAGGAGCTGTGGTTGCACGATGCAATTGAAATATGGCTTTTGAGGATACATTATGTGGATTCAGGGTTTAGGGTTTAGGGTCGTTCAGGCATTCGGGGTTTTGGGGTTCCGGACGTATGGTAGACGTCAGAAACCAAAAGGGACAAGCATCCATGAAAACAGTACAAGACCCCATGCGATTTGTCATGCACATAGGGGGTTGGGCTACTAGTCTCTGAGCGTCATTGAGGGGGTCAGGAGATACGCCGGGTGTACGTGCAGGGCCTGAAGAAGTTCGTGGAGGAAGCACATCGACATCTTCTGCATAGGGATCGCAAGGGGAACGACGTTTAGCTTACATAGGCTCCTGCGCCGGAAGTGGTGTGGCCAACTAGGCACTCCAGGAGCTTGCAAGGCCCGCTCTTCGCATACTCTTTCTTGTTTCGATGATAGAACATGGACATGAACCTACGTCGGAACCGGTGTTGAGGTCCTGAACAAATCAGAGTTGGGTTGCGTCCCGGGGCATGACAGATTTGGCTTTCGAAACTCATCTTCCAAAATCATAGAACCCTGTGACGATTAGGCCAGGCAGTAGATATGCCCTCCTCCCCACAAGCCCGTGAACCCTTGTGGACAGGCGACGTGTGCCATCCTCATGCTTTTTGGGCTGCCGGCCTGCAACTCTTAATGGGGAGGATGATATGGGTTGTTCTCAAAATTATGGCCCCTTTGGTTTTAGATTTTATTTCGGCACCTAATATTTAGGGGGACCAAAAAGGGACCCTGATTTTGGGAACTATCCATATTCTAGGACAGCTTTCGAGATTTGTTGACTTGAGCACTCTGTCTGGGCCTATACTCAGGGTCCTTGGGATTCCTAAGTTGGGTAAAAGGGACCTCGGTTTAGGGTTTAGGGTTTAGGGGTTAGGGTTTAGGGGTTTAGGGGTTTAGGGCGAGCAATCACCTTGTGGGATCGTTTCGGGAGCTACACTTGCAGGAAGACATAGACGTCCATGAGCCTCTGATCATGCTTAAGGACTTTGGGGGTAGAGAGCTCAAATCTAGGGGTCCTTGTTTTCAGGCTCTTGCGATGGAAGTTAAGCTCATGATCTTTATATACCTGCGGCACAGGAATCTGATGCGCTTCCTTACCGAGTACTGTGGCTAGAAGCTGCCCTGACGAAAGCCAGAAACAAAATCACCTTAAACCTTAATCCTAAGCCCCAACCTATCGAAGCACCATGCTTCGGGGTAGATGCGAGGGTTGAGAGCCGATGGTGTAGCTTCGAGACATGAGATCCTGATCCTAACAACTTATTGGTGGGTGGTAGGTGAAAAGGGAACATATTCCCCATATAATCCCACATGAAGTTTATAATGTTTTTCGTTATTCCCTACTTACTAACCCCCCAGCAAGATGAATCCTATGGCAAGGTATGTCCGAATGCTTTGCATGCGGGTGGGCTGCCAACGACGGCATGGTATGGACCCCTCCTGCAGCCTGTCGGATACAGCACAGTCAGTACAGCTTGCTGGCAGTTTGCAGGGAGTGGTGGAATGGAGAAGAAAGTGGAAAGGGTTTAGGGTTCAGGGATTCAGGGCTTAGGGTTTAGGGTTTAAGGTTATTGGGGGTTAGTATAGTGACTCATCCCTCCTCCCCCGAACGATCCGCGAGTACAAGGGTTCCTCCATAGTTGTCGAAGATCGAGCAATACTTGCAAAACTGGTTTTCTTTCCACACTTTGTGCTTGCCTTAGCCAGAGATTTGTGGAGAAAGGAAGTCAACGTGCTGAAAGTTAGCACAAACCTTTGTCCTGCTACAGTTTGGCTTAAATCCAAAGCTACAAACACCTACTCTCGCAGTTCCAGTGAACATTGAAACATCTCTCTTCTATAAGAGCCTCTCATTAGCTTCGTGTTCGTTGTCTCTTTTTGCTTCCTACCATGCTTAATCCGCCTCATATCAACCCCCCCACCCCCTAATACTAAATACTCCCAATCCATTATAGTATATCATATGTTGGGAGTATTTAATATTAGGGGGAGGTGGGATTAGGGGGTTAATATTAGGGGGAGGGGACTATTGAGGAGAAGTAGGTTAAGACATCCCAGAGCTCCACACATGCGGGGCATCATCAAGGACTCGCGGTTTAGGGTTTAGGGTTTAGGGACTAGACTTCCCTAAGAGGTCCCCTCTGGTCTCTTCCCTGAAGCCTATACACCCCTAAATCCCTAAAACCCTAGATCCTGAAGCCTAAGCCCCCGAACCCTACA